AATCTCAGGACCTCATTGTATCTATTTAAGTTCACTTGAAAATTAGTAATCATTAACTTGGCTGCCATATGCCCAGATCATACAGTTTTTCAATTGTTTTCATTTTTTCTAATTTTATTGAAATAATAGCTGATATAAGATTGTGTAAGTTTAAGGCATAAAATGTGATGTATTGCAAAATGATTACCATGATGATGGGGTTAGTTAATGCAACTGTCACCTCTATTAGTTATCGGTGTGTGTGTGTGTGTGTGTGTGTGTGTGTGTGTGTGTGTGTGTGGTGAGAATATTTAAGACCTACTCTCTTAGCAACTTGTAAATACACAGTACAGTAGTATTAACTACAGTCACTCTTCTGTATATTAGGTCCCCAGAACATATTCAGCTTATAACTGGAAGTCTGTATCCTTTGACCAACCCCTCCTCATTTCCCCCATACAGGGTAGCCTGACAACCACCATTTTACTCTCTGTTTTTAAGAGTTCAGCTCTTTTAGATTCCACATAGAAATGAGATCATACAGCATAATGGCCTCAAAGTCCATACATGTCAGCGATGGCACCATTTCCTTCTTTAACACGGGTGGATAATATTCCACTATATATGTATATATAGACATTCATTCACAGATGGACAGTTGTTACTTCCATGCCTTGGCTACTGTGAATAATGTTGCAATGAACATGAGGTGCAGATAGCTCAAGATAACAATTCCATCTCCTTTGGCTATATACCAAGGAATGGAGCTGCTGTATCACTATGGTAGTTGTATTTTTATTTTTTTTGAGGAGCATCCATACTGTTTTCCATAGACGAAATATGAGTCTCCATTCCCACCAACAGTACATGAGGGCTCCCTTTTCTCCATATCCTCCCCAACACTTACTTCTTGTCTTTTTGGTAATATCCATCCTAACAGGTATGGGGTGATAACTGCCTGATGATTAATGATGCTGAGTATCTTTATTTGAACCTGTTAGCTATTTGTATGTCTTTATTGGAAAAATGTCTTCTTAGGTCCTTTGCCCATTTTTAAATTGGATTCTTTCTTTTTTGCAAGTTTTTTGTATTGGACTAATATTTTTCCCAGATGTAATCAACTTACATCACTGTAAAATTTAAGTCATAAAGCTTGATGGTTTGTTTTATATATATTGGAAAATGATTACCATGATAGGTTCACTTATTTATATATTTTCTCATATAGATAAAATAAGAAAAAAGGGGAAAAATTCATTGTGGTGAGAACTCATAGGATAAACTTCTTAATAACTTATTTATATATCATACAGCAGTGTCAGCTATAATCATCATGTTCTACATTACATCCCTAGTACCTATTTAACTTATAAAGTGGAAGTCTGTACATTTTGGTCACCTTTTTCCAATTTCCCTTGCCCCCAACCTCCACCTCTAGTAACCAAAGTTTTATCTCTTTTTCTATGAGTTGTTTTTTTTTTTTTAGATTCCACATGCAAGTGAGATCATATAGTATTTATCTCTGTCTGATTTCATTTAGCAGAACTTTGTCTTAATCCAATTTGTCTGCTATAACAAAACACCATAAACTGAGTGGCTTACAAATGACAGGAATTTTTTTCTCACTGTTCTGGAGGCTGAGAAGTCCAAGATCAAGGTACTGGCAGATGCAGTATCTAGTGAGAGCCCCCTTCCTGACTCACAGATGGCTGTCCTCATAGTTACCGTGTCCAAACATGGCAGGAGGGGCTGTGGAGATCTCTAGAAATTCTTTTACAAGGGCACTAATCCCACTCATGAAGGCTCTACCCTCGTGAGAAAATCATGTCACCATGGCCCCACCTTCTAATACCATCACCTTGGAGGTTAGGTTTCAACATACGAATTTTGTGGGAGACACAAACACTCAGACCGTAGCCACTTCACTCTAGAAAACAAGGATATTAGAATTACTTTCCTATAATTTTTTCCTTTCCTTTCCTTACCATTTCTTAAGTTCGATCATCTGTGCTTTTACTTTGTGTAACTCCAGGGAAAAATCCCGGGGCAAAATACCTCTAAAACAGAACTCAGTCAAAGGGAGAGATAAAGTTAAGAAGCCCTTTCATTTCTTACAAGCAGTCATACCGTCTCTCTCTTGACCAGGCTGCAGCAGCAGAGAGCTCCACCCACCCTCTCCAGTCCAGATAAACCCTTGCAGGCCCTCTCTTGTAATTACCTATTGATATGTAGATGAACTAAACTCTCCACCCCTTGGAAACACCTATTGATATGCAGATGCACTAAAGCCAGGCGAGAGATTCTGGAAATACTACAGTTTTACCCACACTTTAATATATTCAAGTTCAGTAATATTTCTGTTTTGTTTTAAAACCATATGAAATATTTTATACTTCATATCTGGGGTGGTTCTTAAAATTCTGATGTCAACAAAATTATTTAACCGAATATACCCATGTACAAATCAGAGACAGACAGCCGAACTAAATGATTCATTACGATAAATAGGTTAAAGAAGGCCATGCATTTTTTTTCACATTCTTTTCATTGACAGTAGGTTGAAGACTCCTTTGCCTGAATCTCTGTGGACCCTGTGGCTGTTACGACAAACTGGCAGAAATAATGCTGTGCCCGTTTCTAGGCCCACAATTGAAGAGATTATGGCTTCCATTTTTGTGTCTTAGAAGACCGTCTGGAATCCCTCTGTGGAAGGAGCTCCGACTTCCCTGAGACCACACTGCTAGACAAACAGTATGTGTGAGAATTCTGACAGTCACATTGGGATCTGTACTTTCACCTTCATCTATTTCTTCCAAACAAATAGACTTAGACTTAGGAGTCCAATCAGTCTTCTACCTCCATTCCAGCCTCACCTACTATCTCAGTACTACTGAATGACCTCAATTGATGCTACATGGAATAGCAGAATTATCCTGCTAAATAATGTCCACATTTGTAATCTATATAATTGTGAGATTTGATAAAATGATTGTTGTAAGTTGTCAAATATCAGGATTTTTCTAGGCTGAAAAAGATAACTAGGAGAGCATTCCATTTTTTATTTGTTCAAGATTATTATTTCTCTAAAATTTTTTTTGGATTTTCCTTCTAAACTTTTACAATTACCCTATATTATATAATTAGTTATTTTCAAATGATATATCATATCACCTATTCTCATGAGTCTTCTTTACCCCCAGAGATCTCTCCATGTGCTCACCATCTTATTTCTACAAATTGCTGATTAATTTTTAGGTCTGAGACAAAGCTGTCATTCTTGGACTTCCCTCTACTGCTCTGTTTAAATGTAGCCAAAGTCTCCTGGATCTCATATACTTCACTTTCATGTTTTACTCAGTTTGATACAGACTATTGTGAGAAATTGACTAAGGGAGAATACTTAAGAGGGAATGTTCTTATTCCTTGCATATTGAATATATTTCTGGCTATTTCCCATGACTGAATAGATACAGAATTTAGGATTCTCTTTGTCTCCGTGTCCACTTATTGAATTTGGACCAGTGAGTGGGTTTCTCACAGCATGACCCATCAGTAAGTCTGAGTGTCCTGAGACGCATCCGTAATCCCTGAGTTTCTGTCCCTCTTTATGGCTACACAGCCCAGGCCACCGTCACCTCTAAGAGCCTCTGTCACCTCTCCAGGCTTGCCATCTTGCCTCCTGCAACCTCGGCACAGCAGCCACAGAACTTTTAACCCTCCGCTAGTTCCTGTGGCAGAGTCAGCACTTGCCATGCCATGGCCTGGAATCCAGACCATGGCCTCAGCAGCCTCCTCTGGGTTGCCTTCCCTGGCCGTCCCCCTAATGCCATCTGCCACACCATCGGCACTCTTTAGGATTTGAGCCCCTGCCTTATTTTCCTTCTGTCACCTTGTGGTGGACCAAGGGCTACTGACCCAGTAGCCACTCATGCTTCCTCTTTTCCTGGCAGAAAGAAATTCCGCTTCGGTCAGATGGCAGAAAACCTGAGCGAACGTGCTGGTTTTCCCCGGTCTTGAGGAGACCTTGGATATCAGGATGACTGGGCCATAGCCCTTCCTACTGCCAGGGATCAGTTTAGAAAGAGCATGGGCCCCAGTCCTGACCAATGGGACCCAGAGGCATTCTTCTGGAGACCGTTACAAACTCTCCCGCTCTTAAAAAGGGACACGAGGAAGGAGGGAGGAACATGCTCTTTCCTGTGCCCTCTGGTTTGGACCTCGGGGCAGGAGGGGGTGATCCTCGTCCCCGCTGCGATCCGCATGCTGAGCTGGCCGCTGCTGGGAGACCCTGACTTCACCCCGGACACACTGGAACCTCCGTCATGTCCTGACTGCTGGTCACTACGCTGCTGACTCTTCTGTCCTTAGGGCCCAAAGCAGTAGCTAAAACCACCTCTTTGCTTATTTATTCCTACTGCTCTCCTGCTCCTAAAATGTGAGCTCGCTGAGGGGAGCACCTGGGTCCCTCCTGTGTTGCTGTGGGCCCACTGCATGGACTGGGCACTGACACACACTGCAGTGGGAACCTAAGGGCCGGCTCCCAGAATGCATGAGGATGCGACCCCTCCAGGGCTGAGACTCAACTCACTCGTTTCTGGGGCACTGGCGAGTGGCAGGAGCCCTAAAGCCTTTGCTGCCTCAACAGGCCAGAGAAGCCAGAAGACAGTTGGTTAAGAACAAAGTTTAATAGGGTTTACAGATTGACATGGACAAAAAAAAATAACAATGAGCCAAGTAATTACAAGACTATGGTATGAAGGCACAGGGCACAGGTAAAGGGACCGGGGCCTCTGGCACCAGCTGAAGAGGATGCCACAGTGTCCACTGATGGCTCTTCTCATGCCTGTTGTTGGCTAATGCCAGCTATTCTGCAAGCTGGGCTGGTCAGTGGGGGGGCATGAGAGGTGGGGGTGGAGGCAGAGGGATGCCCTGAACACCTCAGGGAGGCTGAAGGGAGAGGTGACGGGGCCCGAGGTCCTCATTCCAATGATGTGATGCCTGGCCCTGGGTCACGGCCCAAATCATCCCTGCAAGAGGCCCATGTCAGCCCCCATCTCCCCTTCCTCCTCCTCCTCCTCTTCCACCTTAAAGGCCTTCGCTGGCCTCTCCTCCCCGACAGTTGTTTCCACGGGGTCCTAAAGCCGGTGCCGCTTCATGTGGGCATAGCAAGTCCACATCTTGTCAAACACCCTGCAGAGTCAGCAGAGGACACAGGTCAGAGCAGGGGGAAGGTGGGCTGAGGGCCATGGGGACAGAGGGCAGGCTGTGCGGGTGCATCCAGGGACAGGGCTGGTGCCCACCTCTCACACTCCCCACAGGGAGTGCCTTGGCCCTGGATGTGCCCTGGAGGCTCAGGGGTCTGCTTGGGAGCAACATTTGGGCTGGCGGTGACGACAGATTGTCCCCTGCAACTCTCCATCTCTGTCTTCAACTCAGGGGTTGGATGGTGGTTGTGTCTCTTCTTAGGGCTGCAAGTGGCCTGCAGAAGGGGCAGAAATGACATCAGGGTGCTGACCTTCCACCCTTCTGAGGATGATGCTTTCCTCTGTAGGGGCCCCTTCCCCACCCCGACCTGGGTGGTCAGTAGCTATCCAGACCAGCACTGAACTCCAGTGAGACCGCCTTTTCCCAGAATCCCCCACCTTTGTTTCTGTTGTGTCTGCCTCATCCAGCTTTCTTTTGACCCTCTTTTTCAGTCCTGGGGCCCAAGAAGAGGTAGTAAACCTGACCCTCTTTTTCCAGGTCTAGTAATATTCTACACACTGGGCCACAGTCTTTGTCCGGACCTGGTGAAAGAAAACAGCAGTGTGCTTTGGGCACTGCCTCACACGCCCCCCCTCGCCGTGGGGCTAGGCACTTCCTGAAAGCTCTCCTGGAATATCTCTCCCCTTGGGCTTGGCACGCCCCTGGGCTACAAGGAGCACAGAAGCACAGAGTCCTGGTGCTGCTGAGGGGCTCAGGGTGAAGCCGCCATAGCCAGCACCGTCTAAGATCTGCACGCTCTCTGAGGCCCAAGTCAACCCAAGAGGCCGTCCCTATGGGAAGGTGTACACGGGGGCTCCCTACACAGGCGCTCACTGTGACGTCAGGCCTAATGGCTATACATTTACCAGCTGGGACTCCCTGCAGCAGGATGCCCTCATCAGCAAATACCACAAAGCCTTTGCAACAGCCAGGCAGCACCCTACAATGCAGAGAGAGATAGCCCACGAGAGGAGGAGGTTTTGAGGGCACAGTTGGATCCTTGGGCATTCAGACCCCACCATGTGCTCTCCTCCTACTAAGAATGGACCCCATTAACAATAACTTCTGTAAAAACAAAGCAGAACAGGAAAGTTTAATTGCTCTAGGAAGACAATTTCTCAGGAAAATTAAATTGGCCATTAAAGATGTACGGCTAACTTCAGAAAATACTTTCTCCATATGAAATTTTTTCAGCTCTGTATATCTTCAAAGACTAGGAGCCAGAGTATGAAATCCTCTGCCTAAGAAATATCACTAAGTTAGAAAAAAAAAAAAACTTGGACTTCTGCTTCCAAACAAGATGGAGCAGCAGGAGCTACATTGACCTTCCCATTCAAAACAATGAGAAGAAACAGTCAAAATGTCTGAAATGATGTTTGGGAAGACACTAGGCAAGCCAAGAACAAGTCTTTCTGAGAGACAGAAAATAAGCTACCAGTGTCCCTACACACCCTAAGAGAGTTTCCAGGCCACGGCTTGGGGAGAAGGGTCCAGGCAGAGCAGGGTGGGCTTCCTGAGCTGAGATGGGAGGGGTGGTTCTGGGAGAACAAGGCGGTGAGAGTTCACAGGACAAGGCAGGACAGGGAAGAGAGCTGCTCAGAGGAAACTCCCAGAGATCTGGGGGGTGCTCCCCTCGAGCAGTCAGCAATGTGCTGACCAGCATGTGCACATGAGGTTGGCCCAAAACTGGGTAAAGAACTGCCTGGAAGAAGTAGATGAAAAGGCGCTTTCTTGAAAAAGTTCAATGTACACCTATCATGTGAGCCAATCATTCCTTTCCTAAGTATTTACCGCCCTCCCCGCCACCAACACTACTTGTTCATGTAGAGATTTGAATGTGAATGTTCACAGAAGCTTTATTTATAATTGCAGATACCTGGAAACCACGCAGATGTCCCTCAATAGGTGAGTGATTAAACGAACTGTGTTACATCCACACAATGGAATACTCCTCAGCAAGAAAAAGGGTCCACACAATAACATGGATGAACCTCAAAATAGTGATGCTGAGTGTAAGAAGCCACACAAGGCAGACAAGCAGTGCACATGCTGCAGGATTGATAGAAAACACTGGAAAATGCTTACTAACTTATACTGACAGAAAGAAGATAAGGAGGTGATTAGGGACAGGGGTGGTAGGAAAAAGGGATTTACCACAGGGGCAGGAGGAACCTTTTGGGGGTGATGAATGTTTCTTATCTTGATCATGGTGATGCTTTTGCAGGTATAAATATGTCAAAACATCAAATCTTACATTTTTGTTACATGCAGTTTTGTGTGTATCAAGTTAAAAGAACAAAAAACATCAGCAGACATTGTGTAGTATGTTCGCATCCTTTTCCTAATACATGTGTATATGCATGTAAGATCTGTATGGGCAAATGCCTGAGGCACCCAACTAAAGTCAGAGGTCATCATTCAGAAGTAGGACTACGGGGATGGCTGTGGAGGGTTTTGAGCACGTGATGGCATTTCTGTACTGTCTGGAGGTGTTCTGTACTGTCTGGAGGTGTTCACATCAATGGCTTTATAAACTACAAGCAGTTTACAGTGTGAACAGCGTGTCACCCCGATAGGCCCTTCAGCTCTAGCTCGGCTCAGCGGTGTGAGACAAGGTGTTGTCTACAGCAGCCCACCCACGTACACCTTACCATCGTGTGTATCAAGGAAAAGTTGTTCTTATGAGCCTGGAATACCTTATTAAACAGCTTATTCTCTGTGGGGGTCCAGACGTCTGAACCTATCAGAGAAACAGGAGGGAAAAGGACAGTTCTGCGGCCGCAGCCATGGCGGAAATGCAGCCTGCCCTTTTTAAAGCTGTCATTACCGAGTAACAATTATGTGCCAAATTCTGTTTTATCTCATACGATCCTTAGAAAAACCTTGCCAGGTTGGGACCAATACTATCCCCACTTCACAGATGCAATAACAAGGCTTCCATTGGTTAACAGACTTGCCAACGGGAGGCAGGGACCCCCAGTTGCCTGACTCCTAGGTTGGGGTGCTCAGCCACTGAATCTGAGCCCGCCTTCACGGCTCCTTGGCCAAGGGATCCCCTTCCTGGCTGGGAACAGCCCCTGAGGGAACCACTGTACTGGAAGGGGGAAGGGAGGACCCAGCCAGGAGAGACAGGCACCCACTGATGTCCCCTGGAGAGGAGAGGCCCTTCTGGAAAGGCAGGAGAAGGAGGGCCCCAAGAGCACACCCAGGGGCACAAGCAGGGCCTGCCGCCGAGACCGACTGGCTCCCGGGTAGTAGCCGGGCACACCCACTCCCGCAGCCTTGCTCCAGTACCTGCGTAGTGGTAGTCAGCCAGCGGGTGAGTTGGCGGCTTCTGGGGTCCTCCGTGTATCAGGGTCTCTAGGGCCACCTGGAGCAGGAAGGAAAGCGGGCTACTTTCTGAGGGAGGGAAGGTGAGGTGGAGGCCTGCCTTCATCCTTTCATTCATTTGAAAAGCACAGGTCCCCCCTAAAGCCTCCCTCACTCCAGGGCTACTCAGCACATGGTGGGGTCGTGGACTGGCTGCGGCCTGTGAACTGCAGTGGATGTACCAGCTCCATTACTACGCATACTGCTGAGTGCAGCTGGTGTTTCCCTCAGTAGGGTTTTCTTAAAGAAGGAAGCAGTGTGCGGATTTATTCTGGCACCAGCTCCTTCCTTCGTCAAGGACTGGCATTTGTAGGAGCCCTACCTGTGCCACGCCCCATTGTATTTCCTTCATAGCACTAACCACTAACAATTTTTGAAAACAGATTTCCCTTTGACTGTTCTAAAATTAAAATGTAAGCTCCACGGAGAAGGATTTTGTCTCGCTCACCAGTGTGAACCCAGTCGGGACGGGCCAGGGAACGTGCAGGGCCCAGCGCAGAATGAAAACACAGGCCCCTTTTAGAAAATTTCTTAATTTCAAAAATGGTGGAGGGAGAGCATTAGACCAAGGGGGCCCCCAAGCAAGGCGTGCACCAGGGCCACAACACTCATGAGGGCCATCACACATGTGCTGGTTCCTTGGCTGAGCGCCTACTCTGCGCTGCCCACTGCCTTGCAACCTAAGGAAAAGTATAGTTACCAACACTGACTCCTGGGCCTCTAACTCAGGTGACATGACCTCCCTTCCCACTACTCAGAGTAGAACTTTTTATTTTCTAAACTGCAGGATTTTGAAGTGGGTCCTTGGAGGAAGCAGGTATTTTTGTTGCATCAGGGGTTTTCATACATGGGTTTTTAATCAAACAGATAAAGCTCCATCGATAAACCAGATCAATGCAGGACATGAGTCAGTCTACTCGGCTCCGTTCCACCTGCCCCTGCGATCTCAGAGGAACCTGGTGCTCTGCTGCTGCCCCAGGTAAGTAACTGACTAACTGGGCCCCATCTGCACACTTGCCCTACAACTGACAAGGACATCAACCCCACAGCCACTGCGGAAAAAGATGGGTGGCCTTTTTCACTTTTCATGAGCCGCAAACCCCACAGATGGCACGTTACATGTACCATATCCCCAGCCACAGCACGGCAGGGGCATCCCAGGGACCCAACAAGCCCACCCCTGCCTCCAGCTCACCGGGACGTCACCCTGGGCCTCGTGCAGGCAGTGCAGAGCAAGCTCCAGGTTAGTGCCCCCTCCTGGCATCGTGCTGGAGCAGGCCAAGTTGCAGAGCTCAGTCACTGTTCAAAGCAAAGGGAGACACAGGAAGTCATTGAATACCTGGGAGGAGACATCCCAAAAAGCACTGAGAGGGGCACCTTGTCCCTGCCTCCCTCACAGCTCCCTGAAAAGCAGTCGAAGGGAAGGACAAGGACGAAGGGCAGAAGCCCTGCTACTGGCACCTGCTCAGGATGACCTGGCTGGTTACTGCATGAGGAGAATGGGGGGCAGGAGAAGA